GTGGACATAGTGACACAGATTTTTGTGGATTCAGCACAGTAATTGCCTCCAATTATAATTTCTGATGTGATTCAAGGAAGAAAATGCTGTATTCTTCTTTATTCCTGCAGTCATCGGCTAATGAAACATGCCACAGATATTTATAGAACTGACATTGTAAATAGCATTTGCATTTGGTGCCTTTGAGTTATTTAGTGTGACAGTGCTTTCACCAGGAGGGTTTTTTTCATTCTGAAAGGGAAAGGTTCTCTTTGGAGCTGTTTCCTCCCATCACCTTGGCAGTTTGTGTTGGATGGAGCAGCTCTGTGGGCAGTTGTGATAATTTAGTGACAAAGTGTTGGATGTACAGGGATTAGCTGAGCGTTGTGGAGGTTTTGGGGCTGTGTCACAGACAGTTTACAGGATTCTCTGAGACAATGTTTGAGTTACAGTGAAGATGAATAGAGAGGAGGGCAATCATCAGAGCACTTCATGGCACAAAGCAAAATAACCGCCAGCCTGCCTTCCCTAGGAAACCCGTTGTGTAAATATTTGGTAGAAGCCTCCAAAGGAGATTTAAAGTCTTGTGATAAAGGTAACTAAAACGTCCTTTCCTTGAGAAAAACAGCTGCAATTCAGAAGATCCCATGAGTAACCATGAGGCAGATTTCCTTTCTGTAGCATCTCTGTATTAGAGTAAACAAACATATATGTCAGGAATTGCTGTCACTGATGGACCTCAAAATGTTTTGCAAAGGTCAGGATCAGATTTTCTGTCCTCAAGGTGCAGAAGCCAAGGAGCAGAGAAAGAATGCATTCCCTGTGTACAGTCAGCCCTCCTGCAGGCTGCTCCAGCTCCTCAGCCACACTGACACGTTGCTTCAGCTCTTCACGTGCCTTAAAAGCAGTGTCTGTGTTTGGGTATTGAAGATATATTATCTCTACACACTCACATGTATAAATGACAGAGCTTCTTAAAAGTACTCATGCTCAGTTCTTCAAGCTCTTGAGGGGTCATGCTGCATAAGCAGGCACTAAAAGAAGTGGCAGGTTTTCAGAATAAAAATTTGAGTTACTGAGCTGTTTTGGGTGGGGAAAAAATGTGTTCTGCATTTTGGTGCAAATTTTCCATCTGAGCTTGTGTTAAGTGTGGTCCATGAGATGCTCATGGCCCATATTCACACCCAGCCCGTGCAGCTTGCTGCCATATGGCTGAACTGTTAGCACTCAGGAGTGTGTAACACACTCCCACCTCTTCACATGTCTTGAGAAGCTTTGGAAATCTGAGGGATTGCTGTGGATACAGCATCCTGGCAGAGCTGCAGCTAAGTGAGCAGCAGGGATAGCCATGGAAGCCCTCTAGGAGCTGTCTCACCTCACTTGAAATGTTTGAGTGTTCCCTCTGCCTTTGAGCATCAAGGGCATCTCAGCTGTTAGGCTGAACTTGGCTTTTTGATTTCTGGAGTTAGGGAAGAGGGATCTTGACCTCCAGAAGGAAAGTGGGGGACTGTGTTGGTACAGGAAATCTCACTGAGCTCACTGTGAAAACCACGACTGAACTCCCCTGTTTCCCTGCCACATCGAGTGTCCCCCTCTTCTGTCAGGAAGTCTGCTCAACAATTGCTTCTTGCGCCTTTGCTGGGATTTTGCTTTTTCAAGGTGAAGGAAAAGTTATGCCTTGGTGCCTCTTTAGTTCAAATTCCTCTTAGCTTAGTTCTCCCCATCCTTCTCTGGGTAAGAACCTTGGGAAGGGAGAACCTCAATTCAGTCCTGTGGTCTCCCTCCTTCCATCCAAACTTTCAGCTCATTTTGGTGACCTCCTGCTCCCATTCATGAGGCTTTGGTGTAGATTTCCCTCCTCTGATTGCTCAGGGAAGCAGAAAGCATTCCCTGGCTGGTTTTGCAGGAGCCAGCCACAGCCCCATGCACGGCAGAGCAGCGGATAGTGCAGAGCAGCCAATTTGCACAGTGTCAGAGGCAGCATCTTTTACCCAGACAGGCTGTGCTAAATCAGGGCCTTCTTGCTGTGCTTTGAAATGCTCCTGTTCCTTGCTCTGACGAACCAGCAGAGTTTGTATGGATCCAACAATGCAAAAAAGCACATAATGTGGGCTTCAGACACCTGGTGGAATAATAAAGCAGAAAGGAGGGAGGGCAGGACCATCATATTTTAGCTTGTATCAAGTAGGAAGCCTGTCTCTACCTTCTTTTCTTTTCTCTTGGAAAGCTCTGCTCATTTCTAAGGCAAATGAAAGCCCCGTGGCTGGGGGAAGGAAATGCTGCAGCAGATCTCCAACCTGTGGACCTGCTGAGCTTCAAGGGATGTTCATGAAAGGCCTTTCAATTAGTCAACCATCATGTGCTGCATTTCAGAGCTTTGCTTTACTCAGATATTTATTCATGTTCCCAGCTGTTTGCATTTGGGATTTCTTTTAGCAGTGAAAGCACTAAGGGGTTATGAAACTCTGGGCTGGAAAAGTACAGAGAGCTAAAGAAGCTCCATAGTGCTTTGCTGAAACACTACAGCACAAAGTCAGACATCTCAGAAAATGTTCCCTCTTCCCCCTTTCACCTGCTTTTATTCATATTTCAACTTTGTTATAGCCAATGGAGCACAACACACGAAAGCAGGACTGTGTTCCATCCCTGCCATCCCCACAATGAACTCACTGCTTTATCTCTTGCCTTGGGTAAACTCATATCAAAGCTGGAATATCACTGCATATTCCTCATCTTGGAGATGCAGTGGATATGTGACAGTAAGAGGATGAGGGAGATGCCAAAGCACAGCTCAGGCACTCAGAGTTTTATCTGCTGGGGAAGCCCAGTGAAGGAAGCTTGTGGTTCTTCTTGCCTGTGTGAACATGACCCACACAACTCTTCCAAGCAGGAGAAACCATTGCAAAGCCCTTCTGTGAGCCTCTGGCATATTTTTACAACTGAGCTGAAAGCTGTTTAATAGTGAAAAGTCTCGCTCACCAAGTAATAGACCTTAGGAGAAGCTATTTTTTGCATAACATTTCTTACTGGAGGAAATTCTCGTAAGACAATTTATTGCCATGGCGGTAACTGGTTGACATTTATGAGAAGTCTTGTTTTACAAGGCTTTCCTTTGGCTGCAGTGCCAGGGTTCCAGTTGTGCTGATGGAAGAAGAGAAGGAAGGTGATGTTATTTTGTGTGCAGGATAGAGATGCATTGATGTGAATAACAAAAAGGGTTGAATAACAAAAAATCTGCATGAATTGCATGGGATTGTTCCTTCCAGAATTGTAAATTGTGGATGACTTGAAGGGAAAAGCTCACTTTGACAGAAGTTTTCTCATAATAAACCATGCCTCTTCAATGGCCTGCTTAAGGTTCAACAGAGTTGTTGGAATACTTGAATCTTTGTTTTGTGGAAGGGGCTGGGTAAGACTTGTTTCAATCTGGTACCAGAAAAAGGAGAGATGGATGTGAGACAGAGCTGTCAAGAGGGAGGACAGAAGCACCCAGAAGAGGCTGATGGGCTCCTGTGCTGAGAGATAGCAGGATGAGGGTGATGCTGCTGGAGATGGCTGAGGTTGCAGATCCTGTGGCAATGGCCACACAGTGCCTGGAATCTTGAATGGGCAAAGCTGATGGTGGAGCATCCACCACTGCCTCCTGGATGCCAGCACATCCAGCCCCATCAGCCACAGGGGCAGCTGAATTTTAACCCTCAGAGCTGAAGCAGAAAGCTGAGCTGTCCTCAGTTAACCCCCCAAGCACAGTTCCCACTCTCTGCAAGGCAGCTTTGTGTCAGGGGCTGGCACTGGTGGGAAGAGGTGATGGATGAGGGCAGGAATGCCCAGGATGCTGCAGCACTTTTGTCTCCAGCAGCCTGTGACCCCTTCCCACTGGGATCCTGTGGACCCTCTGCTCCCTTCTGGTGATACTTTAGACTCACCATGGCAAGCAATATTATTAAATTGAGCTGGGGATCCATGCAAAGCACAGGAAGGTGCCTTGGCTGCAGCTGGTGGGTCCCTGGGGGGCTAAGCTGAGCTGTGGGGCTGCTCTGGGTCTGTGCCAGTGTGGGTCCAGGTGTGCTTGAGCATTGTAGGGTGAGCCCACCCTGGGGGGCTGCCTGTGTGCTGGCTAAGTCGTGCTGAGAAAGGGATTTCCAAGAGCCAAAGAGGCTTAAGGCTGCCCATATCCCATTAACAGATAGTGGGATTGTGCCTGTCTCTGAAGGGCTTTGTGGGACTGAGCTGGGATCTGTAACTCTGCAAAGCAAAGTTGCTCCTCACTCACAGTGCTCTGTGCAAGAGAGGGCTTGATGCTCTGTAGAGGAGTTCCTCAGACCACAGCTTCTTTATTTCTTAGGACTCCAATCTGTGGACCTTGGAAATCTCATATAAGCCTTGTACACATAATAGTTTTATTGATATTATTTGCTAACTGTTGTAATAAACTGCTGGTGTGGAAGCACCTTGGACCAGTACAGTAATGTCAGAAGTGGCTCCTGTGGTACATACAAAATAGGATACTCCAAGTAGGACAAGCCCATTTCAGGATTCAGGGCCAAACAAGCCCCTGGTGCCACTCCAGGGAGCAGCATCAGCACAGCCCAGGGAGGCCCCACAGTCCCTGTGGCATGGCTGGATCCCTGCTGGTGAGGGGCTTGGGGAAGCTTGCCTGGATGTCTCCTCTTCCAGCCAAGCCAGCTGCAGAGCTGGAGGCCTCAATGTAGAACATCAGGGCCCCTGTGCTGCAAACCTGCCCCCACTGGAGCACCCTCCTCCTCCTGGCAGCTGCATCCCAGCAGGCACCAGACACCGCTCCATGACAGCTACCAGGGCAGCTTCTCTTTTTCTCCTTCCAGCCTTTTCTTTACCCTGGTGCCAAAAGAAGGGGGATTAATTTAAAAAAGAAGGAGTAAACACAATCCAAAAGGACTGCACTGAATGAAAGGCTCCAAGTTGTGCTGGGGGAAGGCAGCAGCCACGTGCTCAGCTGTGACTCCAGACACCCTGACACGTGTTCCTCTTCTCCCTTGCAGATGACAGAGGGTCGCAGATGCCAAGTGCACCTCCTTGATGACAGGAAGCTGGAGCTCCTTGTTCAGGTAGGAACTGCTCATTTCATCTTTTGATAGTTTGCTACAGCCATGGGTTTTCAGCAGGGTGGGGAGAGTAAAGGGTTTTCAGCTGGTTTTCTCAGCAGCCTCACGCTGTGGTTGCCTGCAGAGCTCAGGGAAGCTGCAGTAGGGCTGCCTGGGAAGGATCTGCAGAGGCATATCTGGAAGGACTAATTCAAGACATATTTTTACTTTATGCTGTGCCAAAACTGTCCCAGTCCCTGCCAATGAGATAGAAAAGCACCTCTGGTCATTTTTGACCCTGTTATTATATCACTTAACTATGTTTTTGAGGCACTGCTTAGCTATGAGAAATACATTGCATCTGCTTAAAATACCTCCAGTTCTCTGCTTGCCATCCTAAATTGCTGGGCTGCACATCAGAGGGGATTGTGCCCATGCTCTGTGAATGTGGTTGGCAGCAGAAGATGCTGTGGTGGTCATGCCACAGGCAGGGATTTCTTGCAGGCTCATGTGTCAAACACAAATATGTATTAAAATTAGTCCATGTTCCATCTGCCTTATTTTTTACTTTAAAAAAAAGGAAGGAAGGCTGGAAACAATGAGAGTCTGGTGGTGGCTTTGTAAGGATTGGCTGGTGAAAGCTGTAGCATCCTACACTTTCCTGACAATTTTGGCTCCTGTCTCAGAGATCCCCAAAGGGTTAACAGCAAGAATTAGAAGAATGTCTTTCCTTTTACAAAGGCTTCCACAGGCTGCCACAGGCAGCCAAAGCAGCAGGAAATGAAACTTCCCATAGCACCCAAATGCCCTGGCTACAGCTGATAAGATGGGAGGGGGGGCAGGATCCTGCCCAGCACCTGAATGGGGATGGCTGGAGGGGACTTGAATCACAGGAAGCACGTTCAGCCTCACGTTCTGGAAAGTTGCTTAAAAATACCATTACAAAACTGTTAATGGGTAATGTTTTCACAGTCATCTAGGAGGTGAAATCCCTCAGCTGCCCCTGACACACAGTGTGTTCAGAGAGTGCCTGGATAACCATGAGTCAGGCCAGTGGTGGAAGGAGAACAGCTAAATGAGGATGACTAATTAAAACAAAACACCATAGCAATGGTCTCTGCATAGGCTGCACCAGGTTCTCTGAGGCTTTGCAGCTGGCTGGAGGGAAGTTTAGTCACCTTCATCACAAGGACACAGCACTTGGCTTCCTGTGTCATCTAAATGCCTTTTCTAATTTTTCTTAGTTCAATTAAAAATTAAAATGGACTATTGGAGAATAGCTCTGCTAAAGCACTGCTCGGTATATTAATAATCACAGCTTAAAATATACTGCAGGAAATCTATGAGAGCTGCCCTGGCCAACCTACTTATTTGGGGTTTGATCAATGACACTAAAAAACCACAGCAGGATGACAGCCAAGGAGGCTGGTCTGGGAAAACGTGTCCACTTCCAAGGCAGCAGGAATGGTGCCACGTGATATCATGTTTTTCTAAGTGTTTGATCACACCTTCAGTGGAATTCCTTGTAATCAATAGAGGAAGCAAATTGCTCTGTAAATCACACTAACTAGTTTGCAAGTGACCCATGGTTGAATTTTATTAGTACAACAAATCGTTTTGCTGTTTTCAAGTAATGTGTGAATGGAGGAAGCCGGGAGGGTGATGATGAAAAATTCATGCCCAGAAAAAGCAGTAGCCTCTGTTGCATGCAGTACTCAGATCTCTGAGCTCCCCCATGCCCCCATTTATCCAGGAATATCCACTGAGGCATCTCAGATGCTTTTCTGGCTTAATGACAATGCTGTTAGGTAGCTCCTAGTCAGGGTGATATTGCTTTTGGGTGGAGCAGATGAAGAGGAAGGTGGATGTTTTGGACTTGAGGATGTCTCCAGTATTGATTCTCTTTGCAGACATGGGCACAGCACTTTGGTTTGCCTGCCTGTAAGGCACAGGCAAAGCCACGAGTGTTGGGTGGTCCTGGAGCTGCTCCACTCTGCAGGAGGGGGCTGAGGTTACCCAAAGAGATGAGCAGCTCTTTGTCCCAGTGGGCTCAGCTCCCTCTGGGAGCAACATGCACTCTGCTAAGGGAAGTCTCACCAGCTGACCCATATTGTTTGTATCTTATCGTGAGATTTCAGATAAAAATTGTTTTGTAAGTTCTGAGCACCGTTGTTTTTATTAGTGACTTGAACTAGAAGCTGTAAATAAAGTGTTCATCCAAGCCCAAGCTTCTGGCTGTCACTTCAAAGCTGTGTTTTTCTGTGGGTGTCTTACCATGGGCTGTAACACAGGGCTGGTTTGCTGGGTTTTATCATGAAAGAGGTTCCTCTATAGCTCTGTTGGGCCTCAAAATCTAGACCTGCATTGGCTTGAATTGCTCAGGAGTCAGTATCTTAAATTCTCATGTGAAATTTCCTCCTTTACACCAACCAAAAGTTTCTTGGAAGCTTTTCCACTCCTATGAGAGTTTAGGAAACAGCACTGGTAATCACTGAATTTGATTTCTCTCCATGGGTGAGATCAAAATAACAGCCCAACCTGGATCTGACTTTACATCACATTTCAGGGCTTGTGTGTGTGATATCAGGTGCTCTGCCTGGAGAAGGGTTCAGGGATCCTGCTGCTGTATTTTCATAGAATCACAGAAAGGTTTGGGTTGGAAGGGATCTTAAAGACGATCTAGCTTCACTCCCCCGGCCATGGGCAGGGCCACCTTTCACCAGAACTGAGTAAAGAATTTCTTCCTAACACCTAATCTAAATCCCTCCCTTTTTTTAGTTTAAAACAATGGCCCCTTTTCCCATCTCTTTTATGCCCATGGAAAAAGTAACTCTCCCTCTTTTTAATAATCCTCCTTCAAGTACTGAAAGGTTGCAGTGGAGTCTCCCTGGACTCTTCTCTTTTCCAGGCTGAACAACCCCAGTTCTCTCCTCTTTTTTTCATGGGAGAGATGCTCCAGCCCTCTGCTCATCTCTGGGGTACTCCTCTGGTGTAGAGAAAAACCAGCAGAACAAGCTGGGTCTGATTGAAGGAGAGAGTTGGGTGCAGCTCCCTCAAAGGGATGCAGGAGATCTTGAAACAGCTTTGGCCAGTGGCTCTGGGGAGATGAACTTATTTCCTATCCTGCCTGAAGTGCTGCTGGGCAAAGCCAGATGCATCTGGGAACAATCAGGGTGTTTGCAAAAAGCAGTGTGTTAAGCAAATGTGCTCCCTTTTTGTCTGTGGATTCGCTGTGATCAGACATGGGGGTTCATGAATCTGTCATTTGAAATATATCAATTGGTGGGTAATGAGGGCCAGGCTGCAGGAGGACAGGGGGTGGAACTGGTGCTTCTGCTCACAGGAGTCAGCAGTGGCTCAGTGGGACAGCTCTGCCAGGCCAGACTGAAATGTTTCAACACCACAAATTCCCTCCCAAAACTGCAAAAACCCCTCTGACAGGCCACACAGCTATTGCCAGTTGGACCCACCAGGCACATAGGTTTTATTTGCATTACTGTCCCCCAAAAGTGAGATTTTGGCTCAGAGGCAGCATTTATAACCCCTTCTGTGAATGTCGGCTTGCTCCAGTGCTGGCACATAATGCAAGGCTTGGGGTTACCATCATCAGGAAAGAGATCCTGGCTTCACTCAAACAAAGGGTCCTGACTGAAATCTTGTCCTTCCAAGTCAAGCAGCTGCAGAGTGGTGCAGCAGCAGCTAAGGAAAAGCAGAAACAGAGGATTTGTGGATAAAAGAAAACCCTCCCCAATGTGTTTTGTCAGATAAATGCTGAAATTTAGAAGGGCTAATCATAAACAGAGACAGAGGAGGATCATATGGAAATCTCTTCCTGAGGGTCTGAAACTCAAAGGCTGTTTGACTTGGGATTAGGCAGAAGAGTTGCATTTGGTGTGTGTTTCATTTGATAAATGCCTGTTGAAGATCTGGGGTGTGTGGCAAGTTTATACAGCATCATTTTTTGGACAGTTTTTTCTTTCTGAGCAGGAACAGAGTGTGGCTCCTTGGATCTTAAAATCTGGGGTTTTTTTTCCTGTTTCTGTTTGATGCATGTTTAGTTTCTAGCACAGTTCTTTTTTTTAAAGTGTTTGGCTTTATCCAGCTCATCTTTTTCAGTGAGCAAGTCCATTTTCATACTTCTGAAAAATGGATTTCCTCCATTCCCCACTCACAGCCTCCCTATCAGTTATATTATTTCCCAGTGACCATGTATCATTTGCCTGCTGCACATGAAAGGTTTGTGTTGCTTTATTCAAAGACTTTTGTGTAATTGGCAATTCCTTCCTTTCCGTGTCGGTTTTATAAACATGGCTTCTTTTTTTTTTTTTTTCTGGGATGGCTGAATCAGGCAGCCTGGCTTGATCCTGGCTCCTGCACTGACTGTGCCTGTTATCTGACAGCAGCTCAGGCAACTGTCATCCACAAGTGTTAAGCCTCCTAATTCTTTCTCTCTGGAGGAGCTGTTGCAGAAATGGAGCTCATCTGAGGCTCGTAGCAGAGCTGTCTGTGGGGTCTGAAAGCTCTGCAATTTGCGTGTGGGAAATAACTGGGCAATTTGTATCTGACCGCCTTCCCAGGGAGCACTAAGCCAGGGAGAGACCGGGGGGGTCAGCACAACCTGTAGGTGGTGACTAACCACCTCTATCTCCATGTGGACATTTCTTGAGTAACTCTTCTTGCAGCATTTCCATCTCCCAGCTGCCATGAAGGTGCATCCAGAAGCACATGAGCAGTGACACCTGTACATGCACAGCCAAAATTAACAGGATGCACTGAACATCCCTCTTAACCAGCTCTGCTCTGAGTGAGTGAGGAGTGTTTCAGGAGCCCAGGATTTTGCAGTGTGCCTGCCTGGTGCAGCATCTCATCCCCAGGAACTGTTTGCAGTGTGCCTGCCTGGTGCAGCATCTCATCCCCAGGATTTGTTTGCAGTGTGCCTGCCTGGTGCAGCATCTCATCCCCAGGATTTGTTTGCAGTGCCTGCCTGGTGCAGTATCTCATGCCCAGGAGCCTCCTCCAAGCCA